TTATAAATGTTTGTTCGTCTTTTTAGCATAATAGAAATAGTGTGATCGTTTGCGGTTGCGAGCTCCGAAAGACTCTTATTAAAAACACGTCTGATTTTGTAACGGTGAAACCTGATGGCGCTTAAATGACCAAAATTGTGTCGATAGTGCCGTAAAACATCTACCCAATCAATCAAAAAAAAAAGGAGAAGGAAGAGTCTGTCAGGTTGAGGATCATCACCTTGATCTTGGCCTAATGTTGCTTACTGCATGTGGTTGGGAAATGACTCATGAGTGCTTGGCGCTTGTTTCCTAATGTAGGCCAACTACTGATTACTGTTGCCATAGATTAATCCTTAATTAGAAAAAAAAATCAAATAGCTCTTAAATTAGGCTATAATTGTGGGGACCGGTAGGTATCAGATGCTTTCTAATCTTTACATTTTGTTCTTGCATAACCATAGGTCTAGATTCTAGATCTAGCATCTAGTAATCTAGATCTAGATCTACTGTAGCTCGCTTGTTTTTTTCTTTGGGGGGTGGGGGGTTGTTTTTTCACTGTTGTTTGCTGTTCATGGTTTGAAATGGCCTTCACACAGCCCATTAAATAAACTTAATCTGAAACTTTTCTCTACAACTTATTAGTTATTCTCTGTGTGTGCCTGTGCTATAGGCCTACTGTAGGCCTATGTAGCACACCTGAGGGGGGTGAGAATAGTGAGATAGGCTATTCTCACCCCTGGTGAGAATATTTTTATAATAGCCACTTCCTTGCACATTTTGATTGTTTCTAGACATGTTGACAGTTTTGACCAATACTCGATTGCTACGGTGGAAATTGCATGATGGTTTTCTTCAAGACTCGAAAGAAGACAAAAGAAGTAAAAACAGGGTCATCTCGAGAAAGATACTTTACGGCCATGAATAATACTAAAACTTACATTTTCGTGTGAATACATCAACTGTCGCAAATCAATTACTCTCAAGAAAATTTCAAACCTCTCTAACTGTAAAATATCAAAATATAGGTTTTTCACCCGAAGGGGGCAGGCCCCCTCTGCT